GACACACACACTCACACACACATAGACACAGACAGAAACACACACACTCACACAGACACAGACAGACACACACACTCACACACACACACACGAACACATCTAAAATAATAAAGTGCTGAGGGTCAGGAGTGGTGGAGGACTCCTTTAATCCGAGCACTCATGCACGTCTCTGTAAGTCTGAGACCAGCCTGGTCTACATAGTGAGTTCCAGACCAACCAGAACTGCATAGACTCTGTCTCAAAAAAAAAAAAAGTAATTGTTTTCAGTTTATTATTTCTGACAGCTTTGCTGAAATGTGATTTCCACACCAAACAATTCACCCATATAAAGAGTCCATGTCCATCATGACAGTGCATGCCTGCACTCTTAACACTTACACTTTGGAGGCTAAGGCATGAGGATTGCTTAGAGTTCAAGGCTAGCCTGGGCTACAGAGTGAGACCCTATCTCAAAAACAAGACAGTTGTGTGGGGTTTTGGCCATGCCTAGAGTGCAAGCCATTCCTGCACCTCATGTTACACCATTTCACTCACTCTGAAAAGACACCTGCCCTTTAACGCTCACCTCCTGTCCTGGCTTCCCTACCCAACACCATGGCAGCCACCAGCCCACTCTGTGGATTTCCTTCTCCAGGGACATCAAACAGTGTGGTCCCTTGTGACCAGCCTCACTAACTCACATGACAGAGAGCTGCTTCCTTTTGGTCCCTAGCCATCTCAGGAACCCAGATGACTCTGATTCAACCTGTAGCTTAGAGACTACCTACTTCAGTCCCCTGAGGCCGCTCCACCCAGCACTGTGGATATGGTGACTTACGCACACCAGGTCTTTCAGCCTGTTGGTCTGAAGCTAGGTGTCCTCAGGTAGATTTGGAGATGGCCCGCCTACTGGATCATAGGTGTGCCTTCCCACTAGGTGTGTCATCCCTACATGTCAGATGGACAAGTCAGCTCTCTGGGGTCCCTGTTATAATCACCTCCTAATGTTTCCAAGCTAGAGATTAGAATGTCAAGACACAGAGCAAAGTCACCATCAGTGGCAAGAAGGGGCTCTTTTCTAGACACTGGATGGCAGACACATTTGTGGGCTCCTGAAGAATATGTCTCCTCCAATGACATACGGCCAGGATGAGATGTGGGTGAGATGTGGGGATGCATAAGGGCCTCAAGGTACATGCAGAAGGTTTCAAAGCATCATGGGAGATATAAGCACCTGAGAGCTATAGCTCAGGTGGTAGAGCTCTGTCTAGTGTTCACTAAGCCCTGATGTAACCACATAATGGGATAAGGAGGTGGAAACAGGAAGGTCAGAAGTTCAAGGTCATCCTTGGCTATTTTATAAATTCTAGGCCAGTCTGGGTTATATATGTCCCTCTGTCAAAAAAACAAAACTGGGCAGGCTGGAGAGATGGCTCTGCGGTTAAGAGCACTGACTCCTCTTCTAGAGGTCCCGAGTTCAATTCCCAGAAATCACATGGTGTCTCACAACCATCTGTAATAGGATCTGATGCCCTCTTCTGGTGTGTCTGAAGGCAGCTACAGTGTACTCATATACATAAAATTAAAAAAAAACTAAAGATAACAAAATGGGCTAGGGAGATGGCTCAGTGGCTACAGCAGGCTGTAGGCAGGAGGACTGGAGCTCGGATCCCCAGAAGCCACATGAAAAGCCAGGTGAATGTGGCAGTCCAACCAAAATCCCCACAGGAGACAGCGATGGGGGATTCCTGGGGCAAGCGGGCCAGCTAAACTAGCTGGAATGGGCAAGCTCTGGGTTCAGCCAGGGGCCCTGCATTAGAAATTAATAGAGGAAGAGACCTAATGTCTACCTCTGGCTTCCACATGCACACACAAGCACACACATGCACACACATGTGAACATGCATATATGTTCATGCAAGCACAGCAAACATGCAAGAGAGGAAGAAAGAAGGAAAGAAAGGGGAAAAGGAAAAACGCTATTGTT